GAAATCCAATGGGCAATGTGTTTTATTGTTTGCCCTTCTTTTTCCCTCATTGCTTATTGTAGAAGTAGGTGTTGGAAGAAATATCCATCTCTTCAGTTCCAAGTGGGAGAAAGACACTGGAAACATGGAGGCTGATTGGAAAGATGGTTTAATGATGAACAGAACCACATGGGTTCTGGTGCAGCTGACCACATGGAGTTGAGAGTAGGGGGGTATTTATACCTTCTCTTGAGCTTCCTGTTCCTGTGCAAGAACATGTATTCTATTGGCTGTTGTCAGACTCCTATGGTGCCATGTAAAAATCCTAGGAGTTTGTCTGAGCTAGGTTTGGTTGAAGTTTGCTGGGGGTGGTGCAACTGAAATAATGCAATGAAGAGGGTTGTATTCTGAAAGGGTGTTGGGCAATTCCTATTGTGGCTGAGGGCTAATCCTACCTTTGTTGGATCTTGAGTGAGGGTATTTGCTTATGAATAGAGCTGGCTATCTCTTTATCTTTTAAGTGCTGACATCTGCTGAGGGCTATTAAGAAAGTTGGGGGCTGCTTTTTGTCTCCAAGAGCAGGTTTCCCAATTTCTCATCCAGGGAAATATAACATTCTGCCTTTTTTAATATTTCTCAAAATATTTCATTTTTTCTAGCATAGGGGTAGGTGCTAACTTTCTACACTGGCATATAATTAATATTATTAAAAATTAAGATTTACAATGAAAATATATTAAATTGTTTAGTGAGCTCAAGGATTCAAAATAGAGCCTTTCTTTTGGCACAAGTGTTTTCTAAAGGGCTATTTTCCACTTTTACTTTATATACATACAAATGAGAACTGGAAAACAGCCAAAAAACTTGCATTTTTAAACAAGGGATCAAAGAGGATAGCATAAAATTATAGGCCAGTTAATTTAACATCTGTTCTGGGTAAATTGATGGAAAACATTATTAAACAAAAAATAACACTGATAAAAAGTAGAGAAGGAAAAACCTTGCTGAAGAAAAACCAACATTGCTTCAGCAAAGGTCTTGTCTCACTAATTTCTAGACTTTTTCACATCAACAGGTTTGTCGATAGATGTGAACTCTCAACCCATGATCCAATTTTGAGACAAAATAAATAAATAAAATGAAACAGGATTTCAAGAGAATGCAGAACAAAAAAGTTTTCTATTTCTATTATTCAACAGACAACACACTGAATTGATCTGACATAAGTGATTTCAATAACATCACTATGAAGCAGAATCAATTAGTAATTTGGTCTTTTCAATGCATTTGTATTTCCACTTCTATTAGTGAGAGTTTTAGATAACATTGGCATTCTGAAGTCGTATCTTGCATTTCTTCCATATGTAGGTCTAGTCTGATCTCAGGAGATATGGATCTGAAATCTCACTTATCAAACAGCATTAAAATCATAGCACACCAAGGTTTTCTTAATGTCAAGTCTATGATTTATTGTGTTATAGAGAAGATAGACAGGAGATAATTTGATTGGTGGCATAGTAGAATGGAAATTCTCTCTCCATAACAAGTGCTTGTGGCTTCAGATCAGGAAACAATCACAGGTGGTTAAATGCTAAGAAATGATAAAGAAAAAGAAATTATAGTTCAGCTTGTGCAGATAGCTGCTTAAGCCTAGTGATCACATTTTAATAAGTGGAAGATCTAAAGTTGGGTCGTAGAGCCCTGGAGGAGGTTAAAACCTGGCAAGGCTAAGTGTCATAATATTTACTTTGTGAAGTGAATAGTTACAGCAATTAACATGTATTTGACAATTGTGGGCTAAGATCTACCCATCCCAATATTAAAGAAATGAAGGAGATTATTAAACTTATAAATAACAGGAGATATGCCGTAGATGGTAGTATTCCCAACTGCAATTTCCCTTATATTCACTTCCTCATTTTTTTGCCCATATAGTAAGATTTATCTACAAAAATCTTCTAGTGAGTTGAAAAAGAGAATCATAGAACATAAATCCAAAATCAAATGCCAACATGTGGGAACACGGTTAGTCAGTCATGTCACATAGCAAATCATTCTGGGGAAAAAAGGCAGCAAGAATGTTAGAAGTAATTAAGCCACAACATTTTTGCTCAAATGGAGATAAATATATCCAGTAATAATAGATAATTATATTTTAGTGTATAACATATGTGTGTGTGTGTCTCTGTGTGTGTATTCTTATTTTCTTTTTCACTTATTGCTTATACACATACAGAGAGAGAAACATGCACAGACATGCACAACACCATGTCACTTGGGGATCTCCTTTTGCCCAACCTGTTGGGAACAGGCTACAAGTTTGCTTCCTAAGAGCCTTGGTGGTGCAGTGGTTAGAGCGCAGTACTGCAGGCTACTTCTGCTGCCTGCTGGCTGCCTGCAATTTGGCAGTTTGAATCTCACCAGGCTCAAGGTTGATTCAGCCTTCCATCCTTCCGAGGTTGGTAAAATGAGGATCCATATTGTTGGGGCAATATGCTGACATACTGTAAATTGCTTAGAGAGGGCTGTAAAGCACTATGAAGCACTATATAAGTATAAGTGCTTATATACAGGAGCCCACCACCAAAGAAGTCAACAGGAGGGAGCTAGAGAACACAGTAGTTTACTAGGAAAATGAGATAGAGGATGGTTAACCCAAAGATATAGGTTTTATGTAACATTGCCCCATTCTGTTTAGAATAAGAAAATTATAGAATTGTAGAGAGTCCATTCTGTGTAGTTCCTGGTATATGAAAAAAAATCCAGATTAAAACATCCATATGCTGTTTGTCCAGTATCATCTTAATGTTTCCAATGAAGAGGAATTGCATTGATTGTTGTCTCCTCTGCTATATCGTCTTACTGTTCAGATTCCTGCAGTAATATTCAACTACAATTTGCTTTTCTATAATCAAATCCATTATTCTATGCCCAACTCTCTGGATTGACAGCTTTCTTTAGTTTGGCATCCTTTTGGTATTTCAAGAGCGTGCTCATTCCCCCTTGATCTTCTCTTCGGAAGATTCGGAAGAGATTCCCAAATCTTTCAATTTCTATGAGACTTAGTTGTTAGTCTTATGATCTTCCTCATTGTCCCCCTCTAAACCTGTTTTATTTCCTTGAATCTGTCCTAAAGTGTGCTATCGAGAATTGGTCAAAAACTTCAGATGCAGAACAATTACTTTCTACCCAATAAAAGTTAAAAATAGCATGCCTGTTTTGGCAGCCAAAAGCTTCATTTGGCTTTTTTCTAGCCAGATCACAGTGCTGACTCACATTCAGTTCATAATCAAAACTATTTCAAGATCTTTTTCACAAGTAGTGTCACAAAGCCAGGTAATCCCATTCTATTTCTATGCATTTGATACTGGGTTTCCAGATAAAGAATTGTACATTTCATAAATATTATCAGCGCATTTGTCTAAAATATCAGGATCATTTTCAATTTTATGTCTCTCTTCTAGGGTATTATTGTGTTTCATGTTGTGTTATCTGCAAATTTAATAAGTATTCCTTCCACTTCATTTTATCTAAGTCATTAATGCAAAATGCTGAAGTGTTCAGAACTCTGAAGTAAAGCTTGGGCTCAAAGCATCTTCTAAGTTTGATTAAGAACTATTGGAGCACTTTTTGAGGGCAGCTTTTATAACAGCTATATGTCTACTAATCAGATATGCCATTCAGCCCAAATGTAACTGGTGATAACATAGATGTAAAATATTTTATCAAAGATTTTACTGAAGACAAAGTGTATCTACATTTCCACAATTTAAAGTTCCTTGATTCCATTTTACCATAACCCTGCACTCATATATACTTGGCATAGGACTAATGTCAAAAGTTGGGGCATGCATTCTTTTCAAATCATGGCAACTACCAGTAGTTCTATACTGAGTTAGGGAATCCCTATGATGCATTTCAAGACATCAATATGTAGGGTATCAGAATGTAGCTCCAGGATATAAGGTGACTTTTGAGACAGTGAAGAGAAGGACCAGGGAAGACATGATAGCAGTCTTCCAATATTTGAGGGGCTGTCAAGCAAGGATATGTTCCAGATCCTGTTAAATGTATGGCTATTAGTTAGTTAAAAATAAATTGGCAGTTAAAAATAATTTGACTTCTGGGAATCAGGAAGAGAGCTTTCTCTGGCATTGCCCCTGTCCTCTGGAATACCTTACCCCAGAGGTGAGGTGAGTTCTCTGGTCTTCAGAAAGAGTATTAAGACCCAGCTTTGCAAGTTGGCATAGAAACTTAAAAGTAATATAAACCCTGGGGATGGTTGTCAAGTTTGAGACACACTGCTATATATATTAAATTGATAAGAGTTTTAAAACATTGCAGTGAAAGAATCCTGGACCCAATAAATTCACATTGTGTTTGACATATTTTCATTCATGTCTGACCATACTGTGGTATAGTCAACATAAACGGGGGTATGATTTTTTGTAATATATGATTGTAGTAAAAATATAGTGGTGCAGTGGTTAGACTGCAGTATTGCAAGCTAGCTCTGCTCAAAGCCTAGAATTCAATCCTGACCGGTTCAAGGTTGACTCAGTTCAATTCTTCTGAGGCCAGTAAAATGAGAAGTCCTATCTTCCTTTCATTAAAAGTGTTTCTGCTTACTGGAGAAAGTTGCCAAAGCACCAAAGGACATATAAGTAATTGCAGCTTTAAGTGAGAGCAGCTGAAATACAAGTGGCAGTAAAAACTGTTGTGGAATAGTCAGATAGGTTGGATTATTTTTTGGAGCCGCTTTCACTGGCTAATTAGACTGAGTCATGGTGGCACAGTGGTTAGAATGCAGTATTGCAGGCTAACTCTGCCCACAGCCTGGCATTCGATCCTGACAGGCTCAAGGTTCACTCAGCCTTCCGTCCTTCCGAGGTCAGTAAAATGAGGATCCAGATTATTGGGGGCAATATGCTGACATTGTAAATCGCCCAGAGAGTGCTACAGTATAAAACATTATTAAGCACTATATAAGTCTAAGGGCTATTGCTATCAAACCTCAGAGTTAGACATGGTATGATTTGTACTGGGTATTATTTTCTGTATTTAAATATATAACTATGGTCAGAAATAAGTTGCTGTTATATATAGGCATATACAGGTAGTCCTCAATTTATGACCACAATTGATCCCAAAATTTATGTTGCTAAGTAAGAAATTTTCTTAACTGAGTTTTGCCCCAATTTATGACTTTTCTTGCCAAGTTTCTTAAGTGAATCACTGCAGTTGTTAAATTAGTAACATGGTTGTTAAGTGAATCTGGCTTCCCCATTGACTTTGCTTGTCAGAAAATCACCATTAGTATCGCTCTATTAACCCTTATTGTAAAACTTCATACCGAAGAAGGCAAAATATTAGTTATGCACTGTCAAGAAGTTACAGGTCTTGTAGGCTTTAGGAGTAAATAAATCAAGAATTTTCTGACAATTTTTTTTTCCAACAATGCATGAAGATTAAAGCAGAGGCAGTAAATTTTGGCAGGTACCCATAGGTGTTCTGATGGAAGCTGACATAAATGCTCAAAGACATTTTCAACCAGAGCTCTATATAAGTCTTGGGAAATGAATAAATGAACAAATGAATGAGTGAAGTTTATCAGAGTAGGCCTGTAACATGGGTTACAATTTTACACTTGACAAAGTTTTATTAGTTTGGCACTTCTCCAAGCTTAAAATGTGCCAGCAGGTATCAAATGGCAGGATTTCTCTGTTTTGTTTTGTTTTAAGCCTATGGGATGTATGTGGGACGTCATTCCTGATAATGTATAGAAAATAGATGGCATTTTGGTGGGCTAATTTTTTTTCGGATCAGACTTGCCAATTCCACAATGTGGAAAACTTAACTCATAGGCTGACTTTAATATTTAACGAGACTGCAGGGTGTTCTTGACAAACCTAACCATATAGAGCAAACCATGTCATTTGTAGGAAGAAAACCCTTATCATTCCTGATATTAATTTAGTTACGCTGATTAGTGACCTGGATTTCAAGAAGACAAGTAACCTTGAATACCTGGTAGGAGCTGACAGCTGTATAAGAAGGAAAATAGAACGAGCGTTTGATCTATCGTGCTCAAGGTACAGCAGGGAGCTTTATGCATTCTTTTTCTTACATTGCTGGCATGTCTGTGCGTGCGTGTCTCTTCTTTTTCCCTGCATAAAGAAATACAATGCAAAAGGCACAGGATGTCTGGATATCTCTATGCAGGCTTTAACTGCTGGTCTCTGGGGTCGGCGGCTTCTTTTGGGTCTGGGTATTCGAAGCGTGCCGGGGACGTGGTGGAAAAGCCATACATTTCACGGCTAATCCCACTGAAGAGACTCAATGCTCAGCAGATAAAAGGCTTCTATTCCCAGCTGGGGAAAGAGTTCCATTATCTCCCAGCTGTCTGCCTAGATTTGGTTTTTGCCTAGCTGAGCTGGGTAGCTTTCAGAGTGCGAGTAACATTTTGTCAGAAAACTGGGACGGTTCTGAGACATTAAGATATGTAAGTACAAGATTGGGCTGCCTCTTGCAAGATGAATAATGCTGGAGGGAGGACTGCTTTCTCTCTCTCTTTCTCTCTCTCTCTCTTTCTCTCTCCCTTTCTTTCTTTCTCTTTCTTTCTTTCTTTCTCTTTCTTTCTTTCTTTCTTCCCCCCTCTCTCCCTGTCTCTCTCTCTCTCCCCCTCCCTTTGCAGTGATTTGCATTAGCACGAGAGATTTAAATAAATAAATAAAGCCACTGGCTTCCCTGCTATGAGGCTTCAACTGTAGTATTGCTGAGGCTGTCTTTTACATTCTATGCATGCATGTATCTTGTGTGTTTGCATTTAATCTCTGTTCATGTAAGAAAATCTTGCAAGAAACAATGTTTTAAAGCAGGCACAGGCACAAGTGTATTTCTTAATACCTTGCAACAGTCTTTATTATGTGCATATAGTTGTGTGTATGTTGTGTATATGTGTATATTCATTCAGCTAATGGGCAACACAGAACTTGAGAGTGCCTTTATTTGTTGCATGCAATAAAAAAGATTAAGAAGATGGAATCCTTTCTTCAAAGGTTCCAACATCAGCAAAGAAACAACATTGTTTTCAGTTGACTCCAATGAATTGTGTGAAGGAAGTTTCCTCTGGGTTAATGTGTGTAGATGTCTATGTGTTTTCTTTCTTTCTCTTTTAATTCAGAAGAAAATAATGTAGACATAGTTTTAGATTTCGTGTTAGATTTTTCCTAGGAATACATCTATTTGCCTTAAGTGTCCTTTCCTTTGCATTGTGTACCACTTGTAATTACTAAGGGTTGTGATTAAAAGTTTGGAAAACTTGTAATTATAGAAAGCAGCACTGAATAGTTGAGCCATGAATTAGGAATGTGTGCACCTATATATCTTGATATGTTCCGTACTTCATGTTCAAATAGCATAAAATGTATCAGAGGGAAATATTTGGGGATTTTATTTGAATACAGTAGTCCCGCACCTTAATGTTTTGAATAACAGAATAACAGAATTGGAAGCAGTGGTGAAATCCATTTTTTTTTTACTACTGGTTCTGTGGGCATGGCTTGGTGGGTGTGGCAGGGGAAGGATAATGCAAAATCTCCATTCCCACCCCACACCAGGGGAAGGATACTGCAAAATCCCCACAGCTCCCCACTCCTGGGGGAAGGATATTGCAAAATTTCCATCCCCACCCCATTTTGGGGCCAGCCAGAGGTGGTGTTTGCCAAACTACTCAAAATTTCCACTACTAGTTCTCCGAACTGCTCAAAATTTCTGCTACCAGTTCTCCAGAACCTGTCAGAACCTGCTGGATTTCACCCCTGATTGGAAGGGACCTTGAAGGTCTTCTAACCCAACCCTCTACCTCACTCATTGCAATTTGTGTGTGTGTGTGTGTGTGTGTGTGTGTGTGTGTGTGTGGTATCTATCTTTTAAGTATTTTTAATGTATCATTCAGATGGCATGAGGAGTGGAACACTATTCAGAGCGGGGACGAGACTTCAAAAAGTCCTTAGTTTGCTGAAGCAGATTTTTATATGTAATATCTTTCTATAAAGGAGTACAGTTGGGAAAAAATAAATTATCTGTTCATTGATTTCTGATTCATTCATTAAAGGATCAGGAGACAGTGGAACTATCAACTTGCTATGTTTGCAAAAGTTCTTCACTTCTGCGTACCATCATAAAACATGATAAAAGGGAGAAAATAAAACAGTCTAGTAAAAAAAAAAGAGTTATAACTGTCCATTGGTAGTACTCATTTTACAACCATAATTGGAACTGAGCCTTGGTGGTGCAGCAGACTAAAGCAGTGTTAAGTAACACCAGCTGTTTGCAATTATTGCAAGTTCAAATCTCACCAGGCTCAAGGTTGACTCAGCCTTCCATCCTTTCGAGGTAGGTAAAATGAGGACCTGGATAGTGGGTGCAATAAGCTGACTTTGTATAAAAAAGAACACTGCTTATGGGGGGCCGAAAGCCCTACTAAGCAGGTATATACAAAAGTATGAAGGCTATTGTTTAACGTATTGTAAGCCACCCTGAGTCTCTGGAAAAGGGCGGCATATAAATTGAACCAATAAAATAAACTGGTATTCCCATTGGTGTTATTAAGTGAGTCACACCCAATTTTATAACTTTTTTTGTCATGGTTATTAAGCAAATCATTGTGGTTGTTAAGTGAGACACGTGGTTGTTAAACAAATCCAGATTCTCTTGTTGACTTTGCTTATGAAAAGCTGGCTAGGAAAGTCACAAACAGCTGTGACATGACCCCAGGATGCTGTTGGAAATGCATGCTGGTTGTCAAGTCCCCGAATTTTGATCATGGGGCTGTGGGGATGCTGTGACGCTCATAAGTGCAAGAACCAATTGTAAGTCATTTTTTCGGTGTCATTTTAAGTTCGAACTGTTATTAAAGGAATAGTTGTAAGTCAAGCACTATCTGCACTGGAATGCGGTGCTGGAAATCAGGACTGTACATGGATATCCTTACACACAAAAAACAATTGTCTTTCCTTTGGAATCCAATTTAAGAACTCAGTTGCACAATTAGAGAATGTTTCTAAATGGATAGAATAGCGTATGACCAGGTCTTTAAAAATGTAGATTTGATTCTAATATACTTTGATTGAAACGCTTAAATCCTTGTACTTTCCAAACTCAATTAGAAAGCCAAATTATTGAATGAAAGTGGATGCTATCAAACTCCCAACCATAGCAAAATTGCATAATAACAAATGCTGTTTTAAGGCTCAAGCACCTAGCGTTACCTCAAACCACAAGATCAATGACATATGAATATAATGCATAAATAGATAAATAAAACCAAAGAAGCAAGAGTCGCAAAGACACTTAACGTTTAATGCTAGGGGCTTGGTTACAGAATCTTGAAACTTGATTTTAGAAATTATATTCAGTCCTTATTTATTGGTGGATACATTATGCACAGATGTTCTGTGAATTGTTTGAATTTCTTTCCTAAAGAATATCTAGTCGGTGGATTGACATGTCGCATGCAAGAAAGGGTCTATAATTACCAGAATTCCTGCAAGTTATGCTAGTTGTGGGTATTTTTATTTTTATTTATTTATATTTTATTTTTATTTATTTATTTATTTGTCAAGCATATATAAAATCACAGGTAAAAGTATAAACATAATTTGAATACATGAAGAGAGTAAGAGTAAAAAGGAATATTAGGACAGGGACGATAGGCACGCTGGTGCACTTATGCACGCCCTTACAGATCTCTTAGGAATGGAGTGAGGTCAACAGTAGACAGTCTAAGGTTAAAATTTGGGGGGCTTGGGGAAGGTACTGCATTCCAGGCATTGACCACTCTGTTACTGAAGTCATATTTTCTGCAATCGAGTTTGGAGTGGTTTATCTTGAGTTTGTATCTATTGTCTGCTCGTGTATTGTTGTGGTTGAAGCTGAAGTAGTCATTGACAGGTAGGACATTGTGGCAGATAATTTTAGGTCAGACCTAAACTTAGGTCAGACCGAAGTTGACATAGTTCTCAGGTTAGAAAATCTGACCAAGAATGTCCTTGTTTGGAGAAGAGAAATCAAGTGAAGGCTTTGTCATGAAGGAATGGACATGGAATCTATTACTTACCTAAAAAAATGCTGATTATGAGATTTTATTCAACAGTTATTCTCATAATCTCTTTAAAACATCTTGCCACCAGAGGTGAAGTCTGCTTTTGGCCTTCCAGAAGACATTAATCCTTTTTTTTTCTGTTGATTGGCTTGGAGTCCAGATAGGGACACTTGGAGTCCAGATAGGGTGGCTGGTTGATTGAACCCTTCTTGCATTGGGTTTTCCAATTTTATACTTAATCTTGTTAATATTTAAATATTTTAACCTTTATGATGTTAATTGTAAGCTGTCCAGAGTTATTTTGTATATTTTGTAGAGTGAAATAGGTGGCATATGAATATTAAATAGCCTGCTGCAATTTAATTGTCGACCTTCGAATTTTAGAATATTTGGATTATTTTTAGCTCATTAGAAGAGAATTCTTGTTTGTGTGTGTGTGTGATTGAAATGGTTTAATTATAGTTAAATTTTGATTCCAATATAATACCAGTATCTGAAGGTAATACGTTTCAGCTCTTTTCAATCACACATGGATATATTAAATGCTCTTAGTAATGTTAATAATCCCTAATCCCTGGTTATAATCTATTATTTATTGATAGGATTGTATTTCCTTTAACTCCTGATACAAAATGATTGCACACTGTGAAGGAAGCCCAATATTAATAGCATATTTTGTTTTTCTTTTCTTAGACATATTTGAATATACATCATCAGCTTTTGACTTAGTTGGTTCATATTTCCTCTTTTAATATTTTAGTTGCTATGAGTTAGAAAGTAATATGAAATTCAAGCTTTTGCTGATAACGATAAATCTAGTACCCTACATATACATATGCCTTTATGGGAGGAGTTATAAGTATTTACGCTTCACAGTAGGAAGGCTCATTTTACACATAATCTTAGAATAATTAATAACTAAACTTGTGCAGGTCATTTTTAAAATAAAATAAATTTAAAATAAATTTCATGATTAGTGATTACATA